ACAAAGAAACAAATTGGGCATTGTGCCCTGCCTCTTAGGGCGGCCGTAATGGAATGGGTCCGTGGTGTAAAGGTGCTTTCGTCAGTAACCGGGCTGCTCGTTACTGGGTGAGCATGGCTGGGGACAGGAGGCGCAGAGGTGCCCTGGGGGACCCACTAACGATTAGAGAGAAGAGGCCGGGGTCAGAAGTCTCGACGGAAACACTCTAGGAGACAAGGTGGGAGAATCCAACTCAGACCCGCTTCAGCCAGAGAAGGCCCTGGGCAGGGGGAGGGACGATCCAGGTCGGCTGTGCCGGGATCAGAACTTGATCAGCCTGATCAGAACCCGATCGGGACCTGGCAGCAACACTTGTCTCTGTGCTTCTCTGCCCCCAGATCGGGGCGGGGGGAGGGGGTGTGTGTGGGGGGTGGGCTCAGGCTCCCGGCCTCTCTCAGCCCAGACCCCTGGTGCTAGGGGACAGGTAACTGGGCAGGCCGCTCCGCCAGTGAAGGCAGGTGGGCAGGGACAGCAGCCCAAGGGGACAGCGAGAGAAGACGGAGGGGACAGCGCAGGTGCACACCCCCTCGGACCAAAGCCCAAAGTGCGGAGAAGAGCAGTCCCCGCAGTTGGCTCTCACTTTAGCTGCATGACCACAATCCCCCGAGGGGCCTTCTGCAGCCGAAGCCTCACTCCTGGGGGTGGGGGGGCTGGGGGCCCCCTGGGGGCACTTTCCACACCCACCCTCACTTCCCGCCCCTGTTCTCAACATCTCCTCCCCTCTCCTCTGTCAGCCAACCAGCTTGCTTCCTACTTCGCAGAACAAAACCACAAAACCCAGGGGAGAAGTCCACCCCAGCGATGGAGCCCCCAGCCTGTGGACAGCTGCCCCTGCCCCCCTTGCCAGTCGCTGGACTGTCCAGACACCCCTCCGGGGCTGGCCTCTCCACAGGGCGCCCTCTCCGGCTCCCTGCTACTCGGTGGCCCGTCCAGCAGGAGCGCCCCCTGCAGGCGCTGCTTCCCCTTCCCTCCCGTATTCCCAGCAGGCCGCTCCCTTCCTGTCCCGAGACACCTTTCTTCAGGGTGTATGGGGTTCATTGAGCTACTCTTTCTTGTTGGAGGGTTTGAATGTTTTTTAAATATCCCGTTGAGGGGCCGCCCTCTCTGCCTGCTCCCCTTCTGTGCCTTCCCTTTCCCTCCTTTACAATTCAGTCCAAATCGGGGCCCCTGGGTGGCTTAGTCGGTTAAGCGTCCGACTTTCGCTTAGGTCATGATCTCGCGGTTCGTGGGTTCGAGCCCCGCGTCGGGCTCTGTGCTGACTGCCAGCTCAGAGCCTGGAGCCTGTTTCAGTCTGTGACTCCCTCTCTCTCTGACCCTCCCCTGCTCACGCTGTCTCTCTCTCTCTCTCCTAGAAATAAATAAAACATTAAAAAAACAAAACAAAACAATTCAGTCCAAACAATTCAGTCCAAAGCGCACAAGCGGGGAGCGGGGTGGTGGTGGGGGGAGGGGAGGCAGCTGTCCCGGGTGGCAGGGTGGGGTGTCCAACCCACAGCCTGGTGAGGGGGAATCCAGGCGGGCGGCCTGGTGGGAGGTATCGGAGCCCGAGGGAGGAACGAGAAAGAGGGGGAATCCTTGCATGGGTTCGGTAGCCCAGAGAGTGAGGAATGCAACGTGTGCGGTGAGGGCAGCAGCTGCCTGATGGGGGGGCGGGGGCAGCCCAGGCCGGGTGAGGAGGGCACCTCCCCTGCTTGGTTCCCCAGAGCACCAACCGCCATGGGAGGTCTTGCAGACGCATTTGTTTGCTTGTTTATTTCTGAATCGGCCCGGCCCTGGTCCCCACCTGAATGTCCCGCAGGCGGAGACGTTGGTCACCGCAGTATCCTCAGGGCACAGGAAGCGTGTCTGGTGACATGTGGCATCGCGTGTCGAATGGATGAGTGGAACGTAGGGCCGCGTCCCTTGGCGGTGGCACAGACCGCGAGGCTTGGGGACACCTGGACAGGGGAAGCGGAGGGCAGGGAGAAGCGAACCGTGACGCGGGTTTCTGCTTGGACCAAGGGCGTCAAGAAGGACCCCTTTCACCGAGGCAGGAAGGAAGTGAGGGACCGGGCTAGGCTGGGCAGGAAGCTGGGCTGGGGTCAGGTTCCGGTGAGGGGACTGCCTGCCGGTGCCCAGGTGGAGATGCCACAGGGCTGGGAGCGAAACCGCTGGGGGGCTCCCGCTCCCCGCACAGGAGCTGCGAGGAGCCGGCAGAGTCCGAAGGTAGAGGCTGGGGCCGAGCTGCCCAGCCGCAGGCTCGGCCAGAAAGCGGCGCTGGGATAATCTGCCTCTTGCGCGAAGGAATTAGGAAAGGAATAGGAAAGTTTGGGGGAACATACAATAAATTCCCAGCAAAATGAGCTTGCTGCTTCAATACCTGCCCCCAAGCCACGAGCAGCCCAAGCGCAGCAACGCCAGGGTGCAGGCGCGCGCCCCACGCCCCGGAGGAAGCTGGGCGGGAAGGAGAGGGAATCCGGGGGCGCAGCGGCTCCTTAGCTGGGCCAAGTCCAAGCGCACCTTAGCCAAACGCGCCGCCGGGAGCTCGTGCTGGACGCGGCTAAGCGCGGTGGGACAGCGGTGGCGTTGACCGCCTGTCGCCACCAGGTGGCGCCCGTGCTTCCCCGGAGCGCATCCGGGAGGCCTCGAGGTTGGCGCCCCGCGGGAGGAGGGGGGCGGGCCGGCCGGGAGGCCCCGCCCCGGACTCCACCTCTGTCTCTTGGTCAGGCACCGCCTCGCCTCCCACCCTGCGCTCCTTTGGGGGTGGGGGCAGCCCAGGGGTGTGTGTGTGTGTGTCTCTGTGTGTGTGTGTCTGTGTGTCTGTGTGTCTGCCTGTGTGTGTGTCTGTGTGTGTGTGTCTGCCTGTGTGTGTGCGTCTGTGTGTGTGTCTGTGTCTGCCTGTGTGTGTGTGTGTGTGTGTGTGTGTGTCTGCCTGTGTGTGTGTGTCCCCGTCCATCCAAAGCAGGCCTCCCGACCAGAGGAGACTGGCGGCACAAGCCCCCAGCAGACGTAACTTCCCATCCCTGCTCAGCCACTTACTACTGCCTAAGCTAGGCATGGGGCTTCACGTCTGCCTCAGTTTCCTCACTGCAAAATAGCAGCGTAATCCTGACTTCACAGGGGTGTTGTAGAGATTAAATTACATGGTGATGGGGGCTCCTGGGTGGCTCAGTAAGTTAAGTGTCTGACTTCAGCTCAGGTCATGATCTCAGTTAGTGGGTTCAAGCCCCGCGTCTGGCTCTGTGCTGACAGCTCAGAGCCTGGAGCCTGTTTTGGATTCTGTGTGTCCCTCTCTCTCTGACCCTCTCCTGTTCATGCTCTCTCTCTCTCTCTCAGAAATAAATAAAAAACATTAAAAAAAATCTTTAAATAAATAAATTACATGCTGATGGTGATACACATATATTGAAATGTTTTGAAGCTTTATCTTGAGAGAGAGAGAGCAGGGGAGGGGCACAGAGGGGGACCGTAGGGAGAGAATCCCGAGGAGTCTCCACACTGCCAGCACGGAGCAGCGCGATGCGGGACTCGAACCCATCAACTGTGCGACCATGACCTGAGTGAAACCAAGAATCAGATGCTTAATGGACTGAGCCACCCAGGTGCCTCCTATTGAGCTCTAAGGATCAGGCATTGTTCTAACCACTTTACATATAACACCTCACTTTATTTATTTTTTAATTTATTTTTAGTAGGCTCCACACCCAGTGTGGGGCTTGAACTCACAACCCTGAGATCAAGAGTCACAGGCTCCAGCCAGATGCCCCTATAACACCTCATTTTAATAGTTCCCTTCTATATGGAGTGGCTTTCAACTAGAGGCTGGGTCTCCTCTGCAAAGGAAAGGAGGCATCCCTCTGGCCCCAGGGTGCTGCTCACTGCTGAGGGGGGACTGGTACCCAAAGACGGCAGAAAGAGGTGGGTACGTTTTGGATGCTGAAGGCCGGAGGGCCTCTCTTGTTTCCGGTCTGCAACCCAGCAGCTCGGCCTATGGGGAGCAGAGGCAGTGGGGGGGTGCAGAGCCCACCCATCTCTCAGAGAGCAGCAGATGTACCAGTGAGGCAGACAGCGCCTCCAGCCCCGTCCATACCCAGCTTCTGCTGTGGTCTGACAGCCCCCAGAGCTTCTGGGAAAGGGACCCCTGTCATGGCGGATGAGCGAAGGCCAAGGCACAACATTGTGGTTTCAACCTCAGAGACGGGGGCGGGGCGGGGGGGCAACGGTCCCTTCTGTAGGAGGTGGCCAGGGTCGGCGGCCCCGGGAGCACCGTGGAATGATGGAGATACCCAGGGTGAACTAGACATCGTGTCCTGGGGCCAGGAGAGCTAGGATCCAAGTGAGAGCTCCAGTGAGACAGCCTTTGGGGCCATCCCTCCCCACTCCACCACCTCACTCCTGCCTGGGTACCTCTTCTCCTTGCTCCCTCATTCGGACGATGCCTGCTGGGCAGGAAGCCAGAGGGTCGGGGCTACCCTGAGTCCCAGGCGTAGAAGGAAAGGGGGTTCTGAATTCACCTGGAGTTCTGAGTCTTTGGGGCTGTCAGCCAGCTGAGGTGATCAGTGCTCGATTGTGTCCTGGGGGTTGGTGCCCCACCCCGCGACTATCAGTTGGCTGACTTCCCCTCCCTGGCACCCACCCCCCGCCCCCGTCTCTAACGAAGGACCCGGGGCCCTTGGACCTTCCAGCTCACACGCTGCAGGAAACAGAATCTCAAGGGATGAGCCGTCAGCAGCCTTTCCTTACCACCCGTTTAGATGTGCTCGGATGGAGCAGCCAGACGCAGTGCTCCCCCTCTGCCCTCCCCCCACCCCCCGGCCCGCTCACAGGCCCAGAACAAAAACACACCACAAATAGAAATCAAAGTCTGAGAAAGAATCAAGGAGCCATGACCCGGCCGTGGGAAAGGCTGTGTGGCCTTGGCCGAGTCGCTTAACTTCTCTGAGTCTGTTTGCCCATCTGTAAACTGGGGTGGTTGTACTAACCTTGAGGAGCTGCTGTGGACAGGTGAGAGGAGATGTAACGTGCAGGACACAGATGTAGGGCTTGGTCTAAAGGCAAAGCCCCTAAAAACACAGCCGGAGGGTCTGTGCCGGACTCTCCCATCAGCACCCCTGCCGCTCGCCCCCGCAGCTCGGGCCGGGGCTGCCCCCTCGCCGCTTTCCTGTAAGGCTGCGGCTGGAGGGGCTGCCACACTCGCTTCTGCAGTCTTGCTCTCAGGCTCCACTTCCTGTTTTTCTCCCCAACGAATTTTGCACCATTGCCCTTTCATCAGAGCGAGCCAGGGGGGTGGAGAGGTGAAGGTGAAGGCGGAGGCCCGCCTGGGAAGGAAGCCCGGGGTCGGCGGACCCCCGGGGGCATCAGGAAGCTGGGGAGAGCAGTGTGCTTCGTGTGCGCGGCGCCGTCCAGCTGCCGGGCTCTGGGCTCTGTGGTCTCCAGCTCCGAGCAGAGGCAGCAGCAGCAGTTGGGAGGCCGGTGGGGGGAGGCGGGGGGCGGCTGCCTGATGGGAGGGGCAGAGGAGCCCTCCTTCCCATCCTCAGTCTGGAAGCAGCGTTTTTTCCTAGATGTGGGGGCAGGGCCTAGGGATGGACCCATCTCCGGTGATGTGAGGGGCGGAGGGGCCGCTCTGGGAGGTGAGTCTGGACTCCCCGAGGCTGTCAAACCTCTGAGCGCCTCTGGCTCCCAGGTCCCCGGGTGTTGGGCGCCTGCTGGAAGGAAATGAAGGAGCTGTTCCCACGCTGGCAGGGCCAGGACCTTTGTCCTTCCTCTCCCTTGGCTGCAGACCCCTGACCCTTCTGCTGGGCAAAGCCTGTCCAGCCACGACTGGGTCATCCATCCATCCATTCATCCTCCACTTCCCCAAACTCACTTGCAACACCGAGCTCCCGCCAGGATCCCAGCCCCATCCATGCGGACGCCCTGCTGGGAGGAGCAGCCAGGGACCCAGGCAGTCGGAGCTGAGCAGGCAGTGGGGGGTGGGACAGCCTGGAACGAAGACCCTTCGTGGGGCGCCTGGGTGGCTCAGTCGGTTAAGCGTCCGACTTCGGCTCAGGTCATGATCTCGCGGTTTGTGGGTTCGAGCCCCGCGTCAGGTCCTGTGCTGACAGCTCAGAGCCTGGAGCCTGTTTCGGACTCTATGTCTCCCTCCCTCTCTGCTCCTCCCCCACTCATCCTCTGTCTCTCTCTGTCTCAAAAATAAATAAGCTATAAAAAAAAAAATCAAAGACCCTTCTAGACAAGGGGGCCCAGTGGGTGATATCTGTGCCGACCGGCCAGGTAAATAAAGAGGTGGAGGGGGCGAAAGGAAGACTTGGGAAGGGCATTCCAGGCAGAGGGGACAGCATGAGCAAAGGCCCAGAGTCAGGGAGCCTGGGGTGGTCTGGAGCCACAGGTCGAAGCCCTGGGTGCAGCATGAAGGGGGAGGGAGGGGAGGAGATAACCCCACGGGCTGGTCCACTTGGCTCTCTTGATTATTAGATCTCTTGAGTTGGTTCTTCAACCTCAGCTGAGCCCAGACCCCAGTGTAGGTCGCAGTCCCAGCAAGTGAGTGGCTCCAAGGATCAGAAATCAGTGGCTGAAGGAAAGGGGACTTTGTAGCAAAGGCATAGGGTGTCCTCATGGAGCCGAGATGCGCAGCCCGGCTGCGGGGCGTGGGAACACCAAGCTCTCGGACCCTTTCTCATCACTGCTTGCCCACCAGCATCACACGTGCCACGCTGATGTGGCCCGGATCCCTTCCCCCAAAAAGAAACATGTCCAGGTCCCAAACCCTGGGAAGCAGGACTCGGTTAGTGGTCAAGTTCTTTTTTTTTTTTTTTTATTTCTAGGAGAGAGAGAGAGACAGCGTGAGCAGGGGAGGGTCAGAGAGAGAGGGAATCACAGACTCCGAAATAGGCTCCAGGCTCTGAGCTGGCAGTCAGCACAGAGCCCGACGCGGGGCTCGAACCCACGAACCGCGAGATCATGACCTAAGCGAAAGTCGGACGCTTAACCGACTAAGCCACCCAGGCGCCGCCCCAGTGGTCAAGTTTATATGCTGCTTTTCTGTCATGACGACTTGAGGAAGTGCTGCCAGGGGAGGGGATCAGATGGACAGCTGGTAGTGTCCGCTCTGCATCCCCCCCCACACACACACACAACACACACACACGTACTTAATTCCTTCCGCTTTCCCCAGATAGCTGCATTCCGGTTGCTCTTGCTGAATTGTTATACCACAAAGTCTGCCACGAATATCTCGTCCCCCTGCCAAAGGGGAGGCAATCCAAGTCAGGTCAGGCTACTGCATCCAGGACTCCTTTCTCAGAGCTGCCATCTCCAGCTGCCCCTCAGTCCTGTCTATTTCTATTGAATCTCATCTAAGGTGGCTCCTTTTTCCCCTTCCATCTATAGGCTAAGCGGTCAGTTTAACCTCTCCTTCCACGCTTGATCTGTAGAGCAGAAAAGGGAAGCACGATACAGAGCACGCACCATGGTCCTCTAGCCGGGAAGAGGGAATTAAACCTTGAGAACAAGATGTTGCATGGGGTTTGCTTTACTGGTTACCTTCCTTGGCTTCTTCGTTGGCAAACATGGCCACCCCTGGTTCTGCCCACTGGGAAAGGATCCCTTCTCTAGGGTCTTTCACTGCCCTTGAGGGGTTCTTGAGAAACCTTTCTTTAGGAGGGGACACAGCTTCCCTGGGCGCTGTTTCACCTTGGTGCTGGGACTGAGCTGAGGAATTACCCAGAGGGTAAGTCGTCACAAGCCCCTGTTTGCCAGGTTTTAGGGTTTCCTAGAGTTTCCATTCCCACAGAAGCTTAATTAGTTGGCTGTCAGTTTTATTTTGGGTCATGTCATTGACCAATAACCACTGCCATGAAATCCTGTCCGGTAGAATATTCAGTTATAGACTTGGCTGGGGTTTCTCAACAGCAAGCATGGCGGCTGGCTTCTTCTTGCAGCCTAAAGGTAAGGAGGAAATCATCATCTAACTTGGGTGGAAAGCAGGGTTTTTATCTAATTTCTCTCTCTTTTAAAATTTTTTTAACACTTATTTATTTCTGAGAGACAGAGAGACACAGAGCATGAGCAGGGAAAGGGCAGAGAGAGAGAAAGAGAGAGAGAGAGAGAGAAAGAGAGAGACACGGAATCCGAAGCAGACCTCAGGCTCTGAGCTGCCAACACAGAGCCCAACGCAGGGCTCAAACCCACGAACCATGAGATCATGACCTGAGCCGAAGTTGGTCAACGGACTGAGCCACCCAGGTGCCCCTCATTTCTCTTGAAATGCTACCCCAACCTGCTTTCATGCCACTTGACAATGAGGGGCTATAGGACCAGAGGTTAAGGGTTATTCACTCCTGGGCTCTTCCCAAATATCCCTGTTCCACTTGCCAAGTTCACAGACTTTTGTGTCCCGTGCAGTAACCTTAGTGTCAGACACAGGGTATGGCAGAGAATGTATCTGATGCTTGGTTGTCATGAGCTATAGAGAAAAGGACTTCCCCCAACATAGTGAAATATTTGCCCTGCTTTCCCCCGATCTTGAGCAGAACTGAACCAAAGCTCAGTTGTCGCGCCTTCTGAAGGCTGCTAGAAGTAACTCACATTCTAATATGCTGGACAAGGTTCCTAAAGTGTCCCCCTTGGTTGGCACGTTCGGAGTCCTGTGAGATCACTGAAAATAGATAACGGATCTGTTACCACCAGCAAGAGTGGCTGATCTTCCATCCAGGGAGCGGGAATCCCCATCACCCTTCTCTCTGCCTCAAGTCACTTAGTTTCAATACCATCTTTAAAAAGCTGTTTCTTGGGACGCTTGGGTGGCTTAGTCGGTTGAGCGTCCGACTTTCGCTTAGGTCATGATCTCGCGGTTCGTGGGTTCGAGCCCCGCGTCGGGCTCTGTGCTGACCGCCAGCTCAGAGCCTGGAGCCTATTTCAGAGTCTGTCACTCCCTCTCTCTCTGACCCTCCCCTGCTCGCGCTGTCTCTCTCTCTCCTTGAAATAAAAATATAAATAAATAAATAAATAAATAAAAAGCTGTTTCTTGGGGCGCCTGGGGGGCTCAGTCAATTAAGCGTCCAACTTCAGCTCAGGTCACGGTCTCACGGTTCATGGATTCGAGTCAGGCTCTGTGCTGACGGCTCAGAGCCTATAGCCTGATTCAGATTCTGTGTTTCCCTTTCTCTCTTTCTGCCCCTCCCCGACTCATGCTCTGTCTCTCTCTCAAAGATAAATAAACATTTAAAACAATAAAAAGCTGTTGGGGCTCCTGGGTAGGTCAGTTGGATAAGCATCTGACTTTGGCTCAGGTCATGATCTTGCGGTTTGTGAGTTTGAGCCCCGTGTTGGGCTCTGTGCTGACAGCTAGTTCAGAGCCTGGAGCCTGTTTCCAGTTCTGTCTCTCTCTCTCTCTCTCTCTCTCTCTCTCTCTCTTTCTCTCTCTCTGTTCTTCCCCTGCTCATGCTCTGTCCCTCAATAATAAATAAGTGTTAAAACAATATTTTAAAAAAATTAAAAAATAAATAAAAAAATAGAAAGCTGTTTCTTTCAACACTCCATTTCCAATACCGATTTCTGTATTCATTCTGATTATTTTTGTTGTTGTTTTAAAAAAACAGAAATCAGGGAGCCTGGCGGGCTCAGTCAGTAGAACACGCAACTCTTGATCTCAGGGTTGTGAGTGTGAGCCCCACGTTGGATGTTGAGATTATTTAAAAAAAAATTAAAAAACAGAAACCAACTCAAGAGAGTTTGTACTGGGTAGATTATTATCCCCCAAGATTCATGCTCACATGAAACCTCAGAATGTGACCTTAATTGGAAATAGAGTCTTTGCAGATGAAATTAGTTAAGATGGGGTCATCCTCGATCAGCATATCTCTATAAGAAGAGGGAAATTTGAACACAAACACAGACACGTGGGCAGAATGCAGTGAAGATGGAGGGAGCGATCAGAGAGATGCATCTACGAGCCATTGAACGCCAAGAAGGCAGCATCAGAAGCTAAGAGAGAGGCCTGGAATGGATTCTCCCCAGAGCCCCTGGAAGGAGAAAACGCTGCCAACATCTCAATTTCAGACTTCTGGCCGCTAGAACGATAAGGGAATAACTTCCCATTGTTTTACGCCATCCAGGTTGCGCTCAGTTGATAACAGCAATCCTGGGAAACGGATACAGATTTTAAGCAAAATAAGGGAGGAAAGCATAAGGGTGCGAGGGACGTTCAGAAGAACTCAAAGGCAGGGGCACCTGGGTGGTTCAGTCAGTTAAGCGTCCCACTGCAGCTCAGGTCACGATTTGACAGCTTGTGGGTTCGAGCCCCACATCGGGCTCTGTGCTGACAGCTCAGACCCTGGAACCTGCTTTGGATTCTGTGTCTCCCTTTCTCTCTGCCCTTC